AGTTCAATTTTTATGGAATTCAGTATGGAGATTCCTTAGAAACCTAAAACTAGATCTGTGTGATGACTCCATCATACCATCATTGAGAATATATTCCAAAGAATGTAAATATCCAAGGAAGATTGTGCATACCCATGTTTATTGCAGTACTGTTCCCAGTATGGTTGAACCAGCCAAGATGCTCAACAACAGATGTATGGATAAAGATGAGGCAGATATATACACAGCCATAAAGAAAATGAAATCATCTCATTTGCAGGAAAATGGAAGGAATTGGAGAATATCATGTTGACAGAAAAACCAACCTCAAAAAGCCTGCTGTAGTGAAGTTTTTGCTTAGATGTGGACATATTCACAGGTATACATAGATGCAAAATACCTATACACACAGAGATCATGATTCTAATGATTAGGATATAGGAGGTTAGGGGCAAGGAGATTAAGAGAGATGGAGGTAAATAAATTCAAAATACAAGGCATAAAGATGGCATAAGGAACCTCTGAGAAGTTTTGAAAAAATTTGGAGCCAGAAAAAAATCAAAGCAATTGCTCTGCAGAAAATGTAGTATATTTATGTGTAGAATATCCTAGTGAACTCTTGATGCAATTAATACATACCAAAAAAAATGGCAAACAAGCTTAAATGGGAGGGGGGAGGGGGCTGGTGCCCACAACAAAGAGTGAATGAGGATAAATACGATCCGTGTAGTCACTCGCTCTATTTTCAGAGTAAATAGAGTAATGAACATAGAGGAAGGAAAATAGAGTAATGAAACCTGTTGATGTAAGAAGGAGGAGTGGAGATAGGAAAGAGCCATAGTAGGAGTGAGCCCCCCGCCCCCTCCCCCTCCCCCCCCCCCCCCCCCCCCCGGCCAGTGTATACCTTAAAAAAAATCAGAAAAGGACCTAAGCTGCAATCTGAAAAATAATTACGCTGTCTTGCAAGAGTATATAGCTCAGGGAATCCCCATCTTTTTTTACATTGTGTAAATTCAGTTCTCCTATTTAGCAGTTTTATTAACAGTCATTTCCCATTCCTCAGAGAGAATCACTTTAATCTTGGGGTTTACTTGGCATTAATCTTTTTAATTCTAATGAACATTTTTCTAGATTTTTGAGAATTAGGCCTCATCTTTGACTTCCCACTAAGGAGTTGAGGGCTGATTCCACTATGATCAGCACACACCCCACAGTCCCCTAATTAGGATGTAACTATATTATCAACACGAATTTGTTAATCTCAAACAGTGATGCAACTATTCTTTTAGTATATTCAGAAACATTAGGTAATACGTCAATTCCATATCTTGAATAAGTCCTTCAGGTCTTCAGAGTCTCCAGGCTGCTCCATTCTTGACTCTTCTCCAGCTCTGCTTCACAGTTATTGTGTGGGCTCTCTCTCTCTCTCTTTCTCTTTCCTGTCTCTTCTGTCTCTATTTCTCTCTGTATTTCTCTGTCTCTCTGTCTCTGTCTGTCTGTCTATCTCCCTTTTCTTTGTGCTGGTCCTAGGGCTTGAACTCAGGGCCTGGGTGCTATTCAGCTTTTATGCACACTCTGCTACTTGAGCCCCAGCCCCAGCTCTGGCTTTTTGGTAGTTAATTGCCAAATAAGAGTCTCACAGATGTTCCTACTCTGCTGACTTCAAATGGCAATCCTCAGATCTCAGATCTCAGCCTTCTGAGTAGCTAGGATTACAGGTGTGAGACACCAGCACCTGACTCTCCTGGCCTTCATTCTATGGATTTCCTTTCTTCTTATTCTTGGATGCTGCTGCTGCTTTTATTTACAGAGCTGGGATTGAGTGCAGGACCTTTACATTCTAGGCAAGTATTCTGTCATTGAGCTTCATCCCCAGCCCCATGTTTCCAGGTTTATGCCCTCATTGGAAGAGCACATTTTCTAGCAACCTTCTGAACAAAGGAGTGTGGGAGATAAATTTTTAGGAATAACAATTTATTTTTCTTTTTTTTGTCCATCGTGGGCCCTGAACTCTGGGCCTGGGCACTGTCTCTTAGCTCTTCAGCTCAAGGCTAGCGCTCTACCACTTGAGCCACAGCGCCACTTCTGGTTTTCTGGTGGTTAATTGGAGATAAGAGTATTATGGATTTTCCTGCCTGGGCTGGCTTTGAACTGTGATCCTCAGATCTCAGCCTGCTGAGTAGCTAGGATAACAGGTGTGACCCACCGGTGCCCAGATAGCAATTTTTTTAAATAATGGAAGTGTAATAGTATTTTTATGAGAACAAAAGTAAAAAGGGCAAATGGTATTGTGTTACCACTTTGAGAATAGATTTGACCTTGCTTGCTCATTCATTCTCTCAGGTTCCTGGACCACTTTGAGAACAAACGTCATAGCTGCTTTTGTACTGAGCTGGTTGCATTGCTCAGAGAAGTCTCCTGCCTGGAATGCTGACTGTCCACATTGCTGACCATCAGTCTCTTGTCGGTAGTTGGGAGCCCATAGGGGGAAAAAGCTGAGCCACTCCCTCTTTCCCTGCTAGTGGCACAGTGGTCTGTAATCACCTGTTCCTGATCTGTCATTCTGGAGCCTTGTACTTGGTAGTTCAGTCTCCTGCACAGGGTATAGGAGAAGTTTCAGTGTTGCCCTCACTTTGATTGGTGGAAGCGCCAAATACTTCTAGTTTGTCTTTTATGAACTCTGTTGTGGAAGTTGGATTGTATTTCAGTTGTCTCCATTGCTGGCTACATTTCATCATTTGTGTGTTTGCTATAAGTTAATGCCGAACTTCCATCTACTTTCTAGTATGGCGCATCTCTTACGATTTTCCTTTTAGAAGTTTGTCTTTTTTTTTCCTCTTTTGGATTATGTATTTAAAACAAATACAAATCTCCAAGTTTGTTTTTGTTGTTTGGGAACATGGTGGAGCCTAAAGCTTGATGTCCCAGTGGTGCTATTTAAATGAACGTTTCTCTAGTGCTTTTTTAATTTTGAGAGAACAAACACAGTATTTTCATGGGTTATGCATAGGCTTTGTGTCATGCTCCAATAATCCTTTTCTACACTGGAAAGATTCTGGTGACGTAATCCTGCATACTTGTAATACTGCTGAACAGTAATCAATAATAAGCAATAATCACTTAATTCAGCAAATCAAGAAAAGAAAATTCCTGAGGCCTCTTGAAAATTGTCTCATTGGCAGTGGACAAGACTGCCTAAGTCTATCTAGTCTCATGAGACAACTATAAAAGGCCAACTGCAATGGTCCTTATGCTGCAGGAGGACTATTATGCACCCCATAGAGATTCTTTTTGACGTTCTTTGAGAACATAGTGGATATATACACTTAGGAAGGAGTCAGGCTACTGAACTTCATACAGCAATGGTTTTTGAGCTATAGTGTGTGTCAGGGTCATCAGGAAGGCTTATTATAATTTAGACGCTGGTCTGCACAGAGTTTTCATTCAGAAGGGTGGGAAGGGCTCAAGATTTTCTATTTCTAGTAAGTTCCTAATAGCCTAGGGAATCATACTTGAAGAACTTCTCCAAGAGTTGACCTTGAAACTCCCCCAAAGAAGAAATTAAACCAAAGGAAGTCACTTGTAGTATAGCAGCAATTTTGTTGTTGTTGTGGTTATTGGTCATGGGGCTTGAACTCAGAGCCTGGGCACTGTTCCTGCGGGCTTTTTTTTTTTTTTGGCTCAAGTGCCACTTTGAAGCACCTCTTGTTTTTTGGAGGTTAATTGGAGATAAGAGTCTCACTTCCCTGTTGGGCTGGCATTGAACTGTGATCCTCAGATCTCAGCCTCCTGAGTAGCTAGGATTACAGGTGTGAGCCACTGGCACCCAGCCAAGGCAAACTTTTTAATTCGATAAATTTTAATGTAAATAATGAAATATTGTATATATATGGAAATCATACAGTATAGGGGACCAGAAATGCACCTTTCTGGTCTAATTGAAGTGTTTCCTCAAAGCTCTATCATATAGCTTATGTAAAGGTAAAGGTATTTTCATTCAATGGAGGTTGTGAATTATAGTCACTAACGTCGTCTCCCTCCTGTCCTACAGCAGAAAATCTTAGGGCTGAATGTATCGTCCACCTGTAGCAGTTATCTAGATATGAATGCCATGAGCATAAATGCACCTGAGTGTGTGTGTATGGATAGCCTCATTTATTCCTTGTTCAATGAATGTGCTTTTCTTTGACATGTTGCTATATTTCAGGTACCCTGTAATCATGTCACTGGCTAACCTAATATACATATTTGTATGTGTTCCTACAACAAACTGATAGGGGAGGCAGCATTCTAAGCTGGCACTCAGTATCCTTACACCTTGTGTCCTACACACACATACCTCCTCTTGGTCATTTAATCACTTAGTTCTGCTTTGAAGGGATATACTTACAAAGGATATAATTACTAAGATATGATTATTAAGATATTAACTATCAAGGTTCAAAGTTTGGAGACTGTACAGAAGGGAGATTATCTGTGGGGGACTGGTATGATCAGCTCTGTCTTTAGAAGGAGCCCGAGACTTGACAGAAGAGAATTCAGGTGGGAGGGGGATCAGACTTGAGGGCCATTGTCATTGCCGCCTTTGAAGATGGAGGGGGCAGCTACATGGCAAGGAGGACCTGTGGCCCTAAGGGTAGGGAGCAGACTCTAGCTGAGGCTCAATGAGTCCTTCTATTGCATAGAACTGAACTTTATCACAACCATTTGAGCTTCTGCCATGAGTGCAGCACTTGACATTGTGAGTTTAGCCTCCCAGTACAGTGAGTGCACAGAGAACCCGCCATATCGTGGCCAGACATTTGGTCTACAGAACTATGATCACAAAATGATGTTTGAAGTCTCTTGAAAGATTTTTTCTTTTTGCTAATTTATTACAGTAACAATAGAAAATTAAAACAACTTGGTCTTTTGCTTGACAAGGTTGCAACTATTATTTGTTAAATATTTATTGATGTTAAATCCACATTACACCAGCACAACAATCCAAAGTAGTAGGATAGCACTTTATCTATCTATATATATAAATATAACATAAAAGGTGGCAAAGTAATGCTAGTTAATCCCCAACCCAACAAATTAGCAAAAAAAAAAAGTCACATTCAGACAAATTTGGCAAGTAAGATATGACAGAGAAGTCATAATTCTACAATATAGCTAAGTCCATGAGACTCTCTATGGTATCTGAAGTTCCATATTAGCAATGAATATAACTGTGGTCAAAGAAACTTGTACCACGCTGCATAGAAAATCTGCCACCCTGTGCTCAAGCCTATTTATCACTTAAAACTCGGTTGGTGTTCTTAAAAAGAAATAGAAAGTTGTACATGTGAAGCTGTAATATGAAATATATGGGGTGGTTACAGTTATAAAATTATTTTTAAAAATACATATGAATTGAATAACTGAGCTAAGAAAGTCCAACACTTATAAATAATGAAAGCTATATATGTGTTTTGCGTAAGGAATACAGTGTTTTCTTTCCATAGCAAAGTACCATTAAGGCCTCATGTTTTAGTCTAGTTGGCCAAATTATTTTTTTTTTCCTCCGAGAGTTTTATTGCTTCCGACTTAAAACCATCAAGTCTGGTCAGAATCAAATTCAGTATAAAGCTGATGAATCATACACATTCAAAAAAGCAGAGATGCCTTTAAAAATTACTCAGCACCCAGCACCTTCATGAGGCAAGGTTTCAGGGCAGCAGAGAAGCGAAGTGAAGCCCTCATTTCCATCCATTGTATCCTAGTGCCAGTGGGAAAGACATATAGCACCAGCCAGTTTCTGGCTCTCTTTAAGTGTCCATTTCCCTCGAGTGGACTACAGGCAGTCTCTCACTACTGCTACTCTTACAGTCTCAGCCCATTTTCAACTTGCTTTACTCGTCCCAGTTCCTCAGCGACTACCCACATTTCAGATCCACTGCCCTCTGTGCCAAACCTGCAGCTTACCCTAGATTCCTTGACCTTTGGATGGCAGTATTTTTTTTTTAATCTCTATTTTGTGGTTAATTTTGGAGAAAACCAAAGAAAAGCTTGGCCTCTGCCACGTCTCCTGCCCCTTCTGCTTTTCTCCACATGGTTACAGTATAATTGTGCTGGTCGCTTTGGCCTTCAGCTCCTTCCGACTCCTTCCAAACTCATTGCCACCAAATACTATGCACCGTGGTCGTTTGGGTGGTCCTGATGCCTCTTGTGGAATGGACTGCAATACAGTTCTGTTTTATTCAGAATTGTTTATAGCCTTTGAATAGGGATTGTGAAGAAGCTTCCTATCAAGGCAGCATGAAAAGAAAGTACTACACAAAAGAGGTGAAGAATAAGGCGACTCACCTCACTAGAAAACTCAGGGTATGAATAACGCTGAAGGCGTCCTTACGGTTGAATATGAAATAGTTTGCAAAGACAAGGCATTTTCTTGGCTCTCTCCAGCAGTCCCTCTTCTCTGTGCACCCTTCCCTATTGCACTTGCGGTCTCCACCCTGCACTGTAGAGTCATCGCTGCATCACCTTCAACATTGCATCCCACCATGCCACATAGCACCCAGAGCTTGTGTTGAAAGGCACTTGTCCATAATATAAATCATGGCTACCTTGGGATAACTGATTTCCTTTAGCATTTTGGCATTTCAGACCACTTGAATCACAGCAATCCCAAATGTTTTGAATTGGACAAAACATGGTGTGACTTTTTCTGTGCAATGTGTACATTTTTTTTTATAAGCCTCATCTACTTAAGCTCTCTATCAAGTAAGAAAAGATATTATTTTGGTGGTTTCAAAAAATTTCTTATAAGTCAATTTTACTTAATGTGACAGGACTACATTGGTCAAAGCAATGGCTGTTCCGCATCTCAGCTTTAACAAGTTTACAGGTCTTCACTTTCTACCAAGCCAGAATTCAGTGTCAGGTGAGATGGGTTGGCTTCAGGCTGGAAGGCGGCTTTGATGTCTAGCCCCTGGTCTGAAAGTGCTGCATAGCGACTGGCTGAGGGCCGTACTTTTCTTGGCTTGGTGGTCTGTGGCTGCTGGTGCCACTGGGCTGCAAAGGAAAGGAATAGATTTAAGATTTTGACAGAGATATACTTGGAAAGTCTGAGATGTTTCAAATACAAACAGGCATATTAGGCATATCAGTTTTCACAAAATTTAGGATTTTTTTCCTTGGTCCTAGGGCCTGAATTCAGGGCCTGATCAGAACTTCACAGAGCTAGTTCTTCTCTTTTCTTGTAAAGAGGAGGTCAAAGTTGAAAATAGTTTTCAGTCTTTTTCTAGTGGTTTCCTTGTGTCAGAGGATAAATGGTCAGTCTATAAATTCAGTAGGAATAGTTTCCTTTTTATAATTTAGGATGCATGTACACATATATGCACACCCATACACAAATCTACTGCCGAGCTACTGAAGATGTACAAATAAGAAAAGCATTAAGCCACAAAAGAATGCATTCTAGCATCAGTGGTACACACGTTTAGAGTATATTAGGACACTGAAAATGAGTAAAATATAGGAAAACATGTTAAAAAAACAGTTACTGGCAAAACACAGTAATCAGGAAAGGTGAAAAACACTTAGGCCTTTGTCTACTGCTCACTGCTCAGGAATTAGGAAGCCACAACTGACTAGCCAATGTAACAGAAATCAACATGCATATCTTGCTAATAATTCAGAGTTCCTGAATGATACTTGGGTGTTTGTTCTCCTGGTAGGGTTTCACTATTAATGGCGAGAAACTACAAATAGAAAGAAAAAGAACAATATGAATTTTTTTTGGCAAATAGAATTATGTAGTTGTTTATAAGATAAAAGATATGAGATATAGCTTACATATACCTTCTTATAAGATATAAAGTCCTATAGTTGTTTATAAGAGTAGCATGCTTTACTGTCCAGTTGTGTGATTTTTCATAATTCAATGAATAAATGCAACAAACGCGCACTCACTGTAAACGTCCAGCCTGGCAGTACATGACACAATCCCTGCTTCATTCTTGGCTGACACAGTGTACCATCCAGCATCTTCTTTTGTGGCTCCCTGAATGAGCAGGCAGATGTAGCCATGATTATCCTGGTGCATGCTAGAGAAAAGGATAAAGCCATTAGGGCTCTAAATTTTTAAAAAGTGCTTTTAGACACGAAGCATCGTTTTTAATTAGGTCATTAGGAACAGAACTGTGCAAGTAGCAGACAGATGATAGGGCCATACTTATTCTAGAGAGGCTGCTAGCCCATGAAAGTTAATGGGGGAGAAGAGTAGCCGTGGAGAGGTTGAATAAATACATCAGTGCATGGCTTCTTAGTGGACGACCTGCCTTTACAGAAGCCATCACAGCAACTGATTCTATCTGTTCTTTTTTGACAGAAACACTTAAAACACTCTCAGGTTAAGTCAGAATTTGCTGTTATCAGCTACCAAATATAGCTGCCTTCTAAAAGCTTCATTCTACATTTGGGTAAAGAGATAAAATTGTTTTTGATATAGCAAACACATGACTTTTACACACTGATTTGCATCTGCACACATTTCTTTTTGCTCTTCATTAGGATCCACACAGTGTAGCAGTTAGAGGTGAGGTGGAGACACTGTGTGTCTCTTACCTTACTCGGTCAGTGCTGTGAGTGAGTGACTCATTTTCTTTCTTCCAGAATATCTGGGGCAGTGGTACACCTGCAATCCGGCACTCCAGTCTCACAGGGTAGCCATCAGCAACTCCTGTGTTTTGTAGCTTCTCAATAAACACAGGGGGTTTGTGTGCTTCTTTAGCTAAGAAAACACGAGACGAATTATCTATCAGTGATACACAAAAAGAGCATCACAAAGAACTCAGGAGCCTTTAGAAGTAGTGCTTGAAAAGCTCTCTTTATTTTATGATACCCTTTTTCACTTCAGGTGGTAAGATGGTCTGTCCGTTTCTTCTCTTACCAAACAAAGGTTTGTATGCTTCATTCCACTCATCTATTTCCTCAATTAATTCAAGGCTGATGGGCCTACGCAGTTCACTGGCCATCTGCTGTGCGGAATGCCTGACAGGCTGCAGATTTCTAAGTCACAGCAAGCATCTGCATACCATACATGCAGCCTCTGCAATCCTGCCACCTAGTGATGATTTGGGGAAGGACAAGTATTTCTAGGACTGATCCACTGATTTCTTTACTGCCGCTCAAACACTCAAAAGTATTTTGCTTTGAAGATTTTGCACGTTCGTCACTCTCGATTGAAATTTTAAAAGGTTTTAAAGCACTTTGTCTAAATTTTTCTTCTTCTTTAAATAGTGACCTATGAACTAGGATATGCATCTGATACATTTAAATTTCAGTTGGTATTCTTCAAAAGAAAACATATATTGGACACTACACACACACACACACACACACACACACACACACACACACACACACACACACACACACACACACGAAAGAAGCCATTCAAAAGCACAGTTTTTTACTTAGGGAAAAACTTATTAATAACTTCTAATCACAGTGAATATTATTACCCAATGGGAGATTTTTTTTTCTCGTCTTAGTGGTAAAAATGACTTCTTAAGACTGTATAAGGTTTAATTCTCTTTTGAGCTATCAAGCAATGCATTTGAGGACACAATAAGCAATTGGCAGATATTTCAAAGAGGAAAAAAATTCTACCTGAAGTTTTCAGATGCCTAAGGCTCTCCCTATTACCTTGACTCATGCAGAGGGTTGTGTTTTTATTAAATTTTACTTACTGACCTAGGGTATTTGGGAGAATGGGAACAAAAGTTCAAGTTATATTCTTTCTAGGTTTTAGTTTTGAAAGGAATAAAAAGAGTGTTTAAGTTGTAACAACTCATCAAAGTAGCACCATCTTGAAGTACTGCTAAGCAGGGTACTGGGTACAGGGTACTGAGCTTCACACATTTTTTATGATTTAATCCTTATAAAAATGCTGAGATGCATTATAATCCCCATTTTGCATACATGTTTGCTGAAGGTCACATAGCCAGTGGACATGCACTAGTGTTGGAATGAGAGCCAATGGCAAATTCGTGGTGCACTGCTATCTGCTGATCAAGGGCTGAGACATACAGGTGTGTCTGTGTGGCTTGGGCCCTCAGGTCTGAGTTCTGAGGATGGATAAAGTCGGGAGGTACAATTTAATAGGAGAAAAACAAATAGCTTTAGTTTGAAGTTAGAGGAATGAATGAATGAAAGAAATTGGGAGGAATACAAAGTACTTTTCAAAACACTTAAAAACATGGCTAAAGTAACACTGCAGTCTACACAGCTGCCACATTTTGGTGTGAAAACCATCTTGGTTCCATTGATAGAATCATCATCCAGGATTGTAGAGCCAAGGACTCTGGTTTTATTTTCATTAAAACTCTTCTCGAACAAGTTCAGTGTTTGGAAGAACACTAGAGATCAACAGAGTTCTCTCCTCAGCTTACTAAATGGGGACCCTGATTATGTGGTCACTGTGAGAGCTGACAGATAATATGCATAAGTGTGCAAACAACAAATAAGTATGATGTTTTGGTATGCCACCTTTTAAGAAAGAGATCAGACAGTCAGAATCTTTACTTAGGCATCTTTCTAAGGATGGCGGAAACTTTTCCCTAAGTATATTTTCCATTTAGGTTCCTCAAAGAGTATAGTATTATATAAACACTTACAAAATTTCCCAGTCACCAATTAGAAAGCAAATCTCATTTTAATTGGACTCTGAGATTGGGACAATGTTGCTTAAAAGTTTTGAAAGCACTGTTGAAAACTGAGTCTGTACAGCAAGCTATGTGTAAGTATAACCTTCAGTTCTTGGAGCCTTTGCTGCTCTTTACCTACGTAATCCTGGGCCCATCACATATATACGAGAAGCCAGAAGACCTCCACAAGCCAAACCATACCCCTTCTTTACTGGGTCAGTGGGAGTAAGGAAAGAGAAATAATAATGGTTGCACTCGAGGAAGAAAAGTTAGTACATCTAGTTTGCAGCCTTCTAACAGGTCCTCAAGCTTGATTTATTTTCCATATTGGTGGGTGATGCAGAATTAGTTGGTGTGTATAATCTGACCTTCAGTGTGGGAATGGGAATGGACTTGTAGAGGAGCTTACCAGCAACCACGAGCTCCAGGCTGAAAGAGTTCTGTCCTGCTCTGTTGGTGGCTATACACGTGTAGATGCCGGCGTCTCCAGACGTGACTGGCTCTATAATCAGCGAGTGCACCCCATTCTCACGAACGAGCATCTTGTGAGCACTGTCCGGGCGTATCGGCTTTCCGTCTAGTTGCCAGCTTAGATCTGGGGTTGGTAACCCACTGACCTACACCAGAGAGGAATTCAATGTAAATTTCTCCAGCAGAAAAACAGTGGTGACACTGATAGCTAAGAACCTGGCATACAAGCAGGAGAGATGGCTTTAAAAATACCAGCTTCTATTATTCTTTGTGCATAACCTTCCCATGGTTTTCCGAAGTACTCTTATCCATTTCTGAACATTTACAAAACAAAGTAGAGATGAGTGAACTGGAGATTAAAAAAAAAAAACCCAACACTTTCTATCATCGTCTCATCCCACCCAGAGCTATAAAAATTCCCGGAATGATGTCAGCATGGGGCTCCGAGCTCTGGAAATAAAAAGAATGTCCAGCTATAATAACAATAACAAATGCTTAGCTGGCATAGGAATATATTATAAAGCTCCTCATGGAGGAGTGACTATTGCTATGGAGACATTCGTTAATGCATCTATTAGCACACAGAGCTATTATTATTAGTATTATTTTATAATGCTTGACACTGCATAACAACAATATGAAATTACCCAGCAAGCCATCGCAACAAATTAGCATCACAATGGAACCTCATAAAATCTTAAGACCATGACAGTTGTGTCGACCAGAGATGAGACAAAAGGATCTTTAATTGCTAATGACACGTTATGCTGGGGGAGGGGAGAGGGGGAAGTTGCCATCTGCCGGGTCTTTTTTTTTTTTAAAATAGTGTTGCCCTTGATTTTGAGCAGGAGAAAAGCTCTGTGAAGGAAGGCTTTATTACCTCTCTGTTCTCCAACTTTACTAGTGGGAAATTATATACAAAGGATGTCTGTTAGACTATGAACTCATTCCTTTGAAGGACTAGCTTTGCCTAAATCAGCCAGAGAACTCTCGAATTCCATTCCTGTTATGTGATGTTTATTCATTTATATACCTACAAGGTATATTACAAAGAAAAAAAATTTAAGTACACTTAAATTGTGGGCTAAAAGGATAAAATTCTGGAAACAACAGTAGTGACACAGCAGCTCCTTAGATGCTAGGCTGTCCACTTGCTGCGCTTCTGGCTCTCCACACGCACTGCTCTCCCCGTGTGTGGGTACTAGAAGTGGCATGGAAGAAGAGACAGGCACCATTTCTGGTTGGGGGTCTAGGCCGGTCCCAAGACTAGGGGCACTGCTGTTCCTCATTGACTAGGGTAGGCCCTGGATAAGCAAGACCACTACTGACAGAGACCACAGTATTCTTATTGGGACAGATAGCCCAAGACCCTGGACACTTTCAAACCATGGACCTATTCCACCGGGTAGAGTTCTTCATGTTCAGGCAAAAGGAAGATGTCTGCTCCTTCTAGTCATGGACAAAGGCCATTTTAGGAGCTGAAGGCCAGCACAAGCCAGTCACACTTTGAGCAGATCTGTGAGTGCTCAAGGCACACATGGACACGCAGGAGGGAGAAGAGCAGACCTGCTTGCTACCCAAGGGGTTAGAAGAGTTAATTTCCATTAGATTCAGTATCAAGTGACGAATAGTGTCTATTCACTTTCAAGAATATAATCAATTAATTCATTATTATTATTATTATTATTGCCAGTTCTGGGGCTTGAATTCAGGGTTCTGCTTATCACTCAGCTTGCTCATTCATGGTTAGCACTCTACCTCTGAAGCCATGCCTCCAGTCTGGTGTTTTGCTGGTTAATTCAGGATGGAACCTTGAGGACTTTTCTGCTTGGCTGGCTTCAAACTTCCATCCTCCCAAGTCTCAGCCTCTTGAGTAGGTAGGATTTACAGGTGTGAGCCACCAGCACCCAGTTATAAATACATGATCATTAACTATAGTCGTCATGTTGTAGTAGAGTTTTCTTGAGCATATACTAACTGGAATTTTGTATCCACTGTCCAATATCTGATTAGTCTGCTCACTGCATTCATTCTACTCTTTGCTTTGTTGAACATTTTTATATTCTGTATATAAGTGAAGTCATTCGGTATTTGTCCTTTTATGCCTAGATTGTTTCATTTAATATAGTCTTCCAAATTCATCTAAATTGTCACAAATGCCAGATTTCCTTTACTATAAGTGTTCAATAGTGAGCGTGCACAGTTATTTTAGTGTTGATAGATATAACTTATCTGTTTATAGACAGATATATTGGATATTTTTAATAATGCTATTCTGAACAGGGGAATTAAAATGTCTTTTGGGATATAAGATATTTTTAAGAATATTTTTTTTTTTTCTGTATTCTTCTAGAAACCCAGATTTACAATCCCATGGAGGACCAGCAGAGGGAGCCCAAACAATTGTTTTTAAAAAAGGCCTCTTTTAAGAGCAGAACTTTGAAAAAAAGAAAAAATAGGGGCTGGGAAGGGGCTCAGTGGTAGAGCGCTTGCCTAGCATGCATGAGGCCCTGGGTTCGATTCCTCAGCACCACATAAGCAGAAAGAAAAAAGCTGGAAGTGGTGCTGTGGCTCAAGTGGTAGAGCGTTAGCCTTGAGCTGAAGAGCTGAGGGACAGCGCCCAGGCCCAGAGTTCAGGCCCACGACCAGACCCCTCAAAAAAAGAAAAAACAGAGGAAGTAAAAATACCTCATAGCAATGGTTCTGAAACATTGTGGCCTAATGTTATCTTGAGAAATTGATGCAAATTATAACACATAAAATTTTGCATATAACTTCAGAGTTTATACACCTAAAACACTGTTCCATGCCCCCCCCCAAAAAAAAAATAGATGAAAGAACATTGCTTTTCTTTTATAATTAGAAAATGGGAGGAATAAAGAGTAGATACAATGATATAACATTTTATGTTGAAAATATAATAAAGATCATATAATAAAGTGATCACCGAATGATTAGAACACATTCAAAACTCTCATTTCTTCAACAAAGTGAAAAAGGGACAAGTAAAACCTTCCAGTGATTTCTGGAATATGGTTTGTTTGTAGCCTTCAGGGTAGATAACATATTAATATATACTTAAAAGTAAAGAGAAAGCATGATTTAAAAAAAACTGCACATACACTTTGAGCACATTTCACTCCTTATCTTGAGTTGTTTTTCCTTTATGTGGTACTGAGGAATTGAACCCAGGGCCTCATGCATGCTAGGCAAGCACTCTACCACTAAGCCACATCTCCAACCCCCTTGGAATCATCACATACTTTACATAATGTTCCCAATAGGAACTATAGAGCAATGTCAGTGGCGGGTGGGAGTGAGGCAGTAGTTTTGAGGCAGTACAAGCTTACTTTGCAGTCCATTCTGCAGAGTTTCCCTTCTTGAACAGTCAGATCTCCGGGAGCCTGCAGGAAGTGCGGTCTAAAGAATCGCTCCTGGATTGGTTCGTTTTCATCCCCACTGTCTCTTGATCTAGATCGAGGCCTTCAAACAAGATACATAATGGTAAATAAGTATATACTAGTTATTTCCAGGCTTTTACTCGTCTGTAAGGTGCCACATCTTGGTGTCTTCAGGTGTGAATTATGACCCTACTTAACTAATGACAGTGTATCTGAACAGTCATGGCATAGATTGGCAAATGTTTGACCCCTCCCCCTTTCCGAATTGCAAAGGGGCTAATACGTGCACTACACACCCGAGTTTGTATTTACAGTCTACCTCCCACTTATGTTCACCTTCATGGTCACACCATGAGTCTAGTAGTACTAACTGGAAACACCCACGGGAAAGGACATCTGAAATACCTTCTGACATGAGGATGGCCGGAGGGTGAGCGTGGACTGCGACCTCTTTGGTTGACAGCCTGCACCATTAGCCGTCCAGTACAGCTGACACGGCCCTGTGAGACACATCAGGGAAAGACATATTATCTGCTGTGCAAAGTCATTGACCACCAAGAAGCACCACAGCTATAGTCCTACTTTTTCCATAAGATGATTTCATAACAAGTCAGTGTGCCACTAGTAATAAAACCCAATCTCATACTCCCTGAAAGCCTTCACCAGGCTGTTTGTCTCAGTAAAACTTAAAAGAAGGATGGCCAATAGACACACGAAGAAATGCTCAACCTCCCTAGCCATAAAAGAAATGCAAATCAAAACAACACTGAGATACCACCTCACCCCAGTTAGAATGGCTATAATCAAGAACTCTAATAACAACAGATGCTGGAGGCAATGTGAACAGAAGGGAACCCTACTGCATTGTTGGTAGGAGTGTAAACTTGTTCAACCACTTTGGAAAGTAGTATGGAGGGTCCTCAAAAGACACCACATAGAGCTCCCCTATGACCCAGCAATCCCACTTTTGGGCATTTACCCAAATGATCACAAACAAGACCACACTAAAGCTACCACCACAACTATGTATATTGCAGCATTATTTACCATAGCTAAGATATGGAACCAACCCAGATGCTCCTCAGTAGATGAATGGATCAAGAAAATGTGGTATATTTACACAATGGAATTCTATGCCTCCATCAGAAAGAATGTCATTGCCCCATTTGTTAGGAATGGAAAGACTTGGAAAAAATTATATTAAGTGAAGTAAGCCAGGCCCAAAGAAACATAGATCCCATGGTTTCCCTTATTTGCAATAACTAGTATATGTCTGAGTCAAGCAGAAATGGTCAGGTAAGTTGATGTTAGGAGAAATGAACCCTAAGATAAGGACTAAAATGATTTTTCTTTCTTGCTATTGTTTCTAACATATTTATAAAATGATTTTTTTGTTGCCTTGTATGTCCCTCCCCCACGGTATAATCCCTGTTTTCAATGTATTTGATGTTGGCATATTTTGTGGAGAGGAAAGAAAAAAACCAATAGTTTAAATAGGGATACAGGTGGACCCATTGCAACAATGAGATGTATAAGACGTTATGTCGAAAAACAAACTTTACAACCTTGTGGGGGGGATGGGAGGGCAGGGATGGTATGGGGAAACAAAGGAGGAGGCAGAAATGTACTCATTACCTTGCTCATGTAATTGTAACCCCTCTGTGCAGTATTTTCACAATTTAAAAAACTTATTAATTAAAAAAAAGAACACAGATGACAAAGTCTTAGCTTGAATATTAAGTTCTACTGTTTTATCTCAGATGTTTTATCAAACTAACACATAAATCCATGATTTGCTCTTGAGGTTGAGGATAAGAAAGCACATGTTTAGTTTTGTAAAAAGAGCTTCATATGTGCAGACATGGGAGAAAGTTTCTTTATAACCTGCTCTGCTTATTGAGTGATAAAATGCATATAGTCTGGATCTATCTAGCTTTTCTTTTCTTGTGGAACTCAGAGGATACACAAGAGAAGTTTATGTTAACTAATAATGTATTGGTTATAAAAATAAATAATGTAGATTAAATTCAAACTTTAATCTTGAGTTTGAACAAGCAAGTATGAGTTAAAATATGAACTTTAAGTTTTGACATTTTCTCATATACATGTATGTAAATATATAGACAGATATTATAAATATGTAAAATATCCATTCATCTTTCAGATGTTACAAGGGTTAAATGTTATAAGCTAAGATGATCTTATTCTTTTTTTTTTTTTTTTTTTGGTTGTGGGGCTTGAACTCAGGGCCTGGGCGCTGTCCCTAAGCCTCTTTGTGCTGAAGGCTAGCGCTCTACCACTTGAACGACAGTGCCACTTCCAGTTTTTTGAGTGGTTAATTGGAGATAAGAGTCTCACAGGGACTTTTCTGCTTAGGCTGGCTTTGAACCATGATCCTTAGATCTCAGGTCCCTGAGTAGTTTGGATTACAGGTGTGAGCCACTGGCACCTGGCTTAAGATGATCTTATAAATAGCAAATATGTAACCATTCATTACTAAATTCATGAAAGCTTAGTACTGTGTTACTTAGTACTGTGTAATATATATGAGACATTATATATACATATATATGTATATATATATATATATATATATATATATATATATATATGAGTATGTGTTAATATGATTTTTACTGGCCCCAGCCAGGGCTTGGCTAATAATCCCAATAAATTTTTTTTTGTCAGTCCTGGGGCTTGAACTCAGGGCCTGAACACTGTCCCTGAGCTTCTTTGTTTTGTTCAAGGCTAGCATTCTACCACTTAGCCACAGTGCCACTTCCAACTTTTTCTGTTTATGTGGTGCTGAGGAATCGAACCAGGGCTTGGTACATGTTAGGCAAGCACTCTGCTGCTAAGCCACATTCCCAGACCCCTCCCCACTCAGTAAAAATTTTCAAGTGAATACATTTTAACTGAGGTGTGCTTTTCCTTTCTTAAAAAAAAATCTCTACTTATTTTAACCAGTGTCTCCCTTCTTTCAGTGCTCTTTGTATCTTTTCTTTTAGAGACAGGGTCTCACTATGTAGTGCAGGCTGGCGTGAATCTCATGATTGTGGTAATGTGTGCGATTACAGCCATCTGCCACCACTCTCAGCTCTCCCTGGGTTCTCTAACCCTGACGCCTTCATATGACCATCTATAATTCTACGCACACTGCCTTGGTGTGTAAATTACTCTGTTCTTTACAGTTGAGTGATTTTAGGCAGGCTGTGTAATGTCCCTACTTTGTGGAATAGGGCCATAGGGTTAATACTTCAGTATTTAAGATGATTTACATGAGTAGAGATGCAGAAAGCATGTACTACTGTGTTTTGCACACAGCAAATGCTCAAAATATTTAAACACTGTAGGGAGGAATATAGATGCAGTTATAATAACAACCAGATGATTGTTTTAACACAGTTGTTTTTTTCTGCATATGTAGTACTTTTAGCTCAGGAGGCAGACTTTGTAGAAGATTATCATTGTCCTCTTTGTATGCCTACACAAATCTTGGGAGGGTGTACTGAGTGCTGGTGGCTCATGCCTGCAATTCTAGCTACTCAGGAGGCAGAGATCTGAGGCTTGCAGTTCCAAGTCAGTCCATGTAGGAAAGTCCAAGAAACTCATGTCCAGTTAACCCCCAGAAAACCGAAAGTGTGCTGTGGCTCAAAGTGGTAGAGCACTGGCTTTGAGTGAAAAAGCTCAGGGACATCACCCAGGAGCCCTGAACTCAAGCCCTACAATTAAAAAACAAAAGAGAGAGAAAAGGGAGAGGGCCTCCAGGAAGCAGTTACTAATTTGACTAATATAAAGTTAGTGGCTAAATATATTGCTAACTAATATGCGACCAGGAGCATCTCAGAAGGTTTTGAAACTAAAAGTTACATAGTTTTGGCATTAATATTTGAAAAACAAAATCCAGAAACTGAAAGATAGTGCACCAGTGTACATTAAAAGGGAGTCTGGGTTTTAAAGTCAGAGCATCTCCATGAGAATGTCTGTACAGCATTAGCACTGGGGAGACTGAATCACACTAACATTCCCGCTGACCCTAGCGGGCCTCATTATTGGTTGGCTGTGGTGCTCATCAGTGCTGTTGTGCTTGCTTTTAACTTTCATATTTCTGTCTGCTTTATTAACCCACAACGATGTAACGGAAGGGAATGTTTAAAGGGAAGCTTGAAATAAGCCAGGAAACATAATGCTAAAACAAAACACAATCAACAGGCTAACATTGTACATTTTAGATTTCACTGAGCTCTGTTACTTTTCTATTCTGAAGAGATCCACAGTTTAAAGCTGTAGTGCAAATAAGGTTGTCTGGCTACAATGTTTCTATATTAAACATCCAGCTTGTAAAGATTACTTGATACCTCATGCAAGGCCAACTATTTACATAATAGAAACAGGACATTTATAGTCATAGCTTATGAATTTCATTTGTGGCTACAGGTCTTTAGGAAAGCTTGCCACTTGTATACATCATGCAATTTGAAGAAAGAGCAAACTGCAAAACAGCCCTTCCAAATTCCTAATACAATACGAAGTAACTTAGCAACACAGCAAAACAAAGTAAAACATTCATGTTTAGATTCAGTTGTGTCTTAAAGATAGGATTAACGTCTAAAATAAACTGTTTCTGTGATCCTCATTTTGGCCGTAGCTTTGGTGAAACACTGTACAATCACTCATCATGTTGCTACACTTTGTGCTGGCTTTGGTCTCTAATGAGTTGCTGGAACTGTACACACCGAGTCGGATACACAGTTCAGTGTGGACTCAGAGCTGTGTGTTTTATCCATAGAGGAATTTGAAGACAGACTAACAGTATCCAGTGTGTTTCCCTAAAGATTAGCCAGGTGGAAAAATACCATATTCTATAAAGTATTCTGCTGAATAGTAGTAGTTTTCTTCAGCTCTCATCCTTCTATTGACCATTTTATGCAATTCTTTTCCACGGCTCAGACAGCTCTGCCTCTCTGTTTCATTAGTGAACGAATTTTCCTACTCCAGTTCTCTTTTCTGCATCCTTTGTTTATTTTACATCTGATAGGATACAATAGGTTAGTTGTTTCCCTTTCAAACGCAAATACTTTTAAACAGTGACTTGTGTCGGTTTCAATCCCATCTTCTTTTCTGAATGAGTAATCTAGTTCCTCACCAAATTTATATTTGCTACACTCGGACATGCATATTCTATGTCCTGAAGTAGCACTACATGTATGTATTACAAGTTAAAAAAAAAAGGAGTTCATCTCTTACAATCAATAAGTAGATTTTGAATCAGTCAGAATGATCAGAAATTTAGACAGCGTTTACCGAGTGGCATAAATTTGGAAATTCTCTCACTGCAGGGTGAATGGGGATATTCATCGATATCATCCGAATTCTGCATGTCTCCCCTATGACTTCCTCAGACTGCCTTTAAAAGTTCTCTTTTCTGTCTTTGGTAGCCACACCTCTTAATTACAATACTGAGAGCATTTAGTATTTGGCGCGGGGAACTGGTGTGATTCTGCAGCCCTGAACTTCTTTAAATCCGGGAGACTTATAGTCACAGTAATCACCTTTGCTTACATCACCATTGGCTGGGAGGGATATTTCTGTTGGAAGGGCCAGGCTCCTTGTTACCTGATGTGAACTAGGCCATTCGTGCTAATGTTGTCATCCCTCCAAAGAGCCAGAGAAGGCCAGTCGTGGCCTTCTGCTGCAATAGAGCAGAATCACTGCTGCCGCAGAGGGTGCTGGGAGCAGGCAGCCGCTTCCCAGGTTCATGTGTGGCCAGAGCCAGCTGTGCTGTGGGCGTGGCTGGGTCTGCAGCACACAGCTTGCTCCACCCAACCCCGCAGCTGTGGCTGTGTGGCACAGCCTCTTGTGCTGCAGGAGGGTAAGGAAAGAGGCAGAGGTCACAAGACCACACACCAGCATCCAGTTGGGTAGAAATTCCACCCCAGCTGTCCTCAGAGCTCTCCGGCACTTCTGTGGGCACGAGCCTCTCCTCCCCATCCTGCTTCCACAGGCCCTGGCTACATCATAAGATGGGGTAATAAGTTAATGACGTTAATGATAATGAGTAACACTAATTAAAAGAATGCTGTAGGCCAGGAAATGGAACACTTACAGGATGGCTATCTAAATCCACAGCATTCTTATTTTCTAGAAGAGGAAACGGCATGCATGGAGAAGTGAGATACTGCTAAAGGCACATGAAAAATGAATGCAGAGTTAGAGTCCAAGTTGCCTGGTGCCAGAGCTCAGACCGATTTGTTTTGGGGGTGGGGAATTTGTTTGTGCCAGTATGGTACTAGGGCTTGAACTCAGGGCCTGGTACTGTCCCTTAGTTTTTTTTTTTTTCTCTCTCAAGGCTGATGGTTTATCATTTGAGCCACAGTTCCACTTCTAGTTTTCTTGCTTGCTAATTGGAGATGAGTGTCATGGATTTTTCCTGCCTAGGCTGGTTTGGGACCACGATCCTCAGATCTTAGTTTTCGGAGTAGCTAGGATTTACAGTCGTGAGCCACCAGCACCTGGCTAAAATGTAACTTCTTAGTGGAGGTTATGATTTTGACTGTTTTAAAAAGTAATCGTTAGGTATTCATTGGTTATAAAATTTGCATGTCAAGAAAGCACATTGACCATGAAGAGTTTGCTTTTTGCTCTGGATAAACTGAGTTTCATTCTAATATTAATATTATTGGAGAAAAGTATCCTAATGTGATAATATTAGGATAGGATAAGCCTTGCACAAACTTGAAAAACTTTGTAATTTATTTAAACTAGAGTTTAAACTCAGGACCTAGAGCTTGTTAGGACGGCACTCTACCATTTATATCACAACGGAGAAAATTCAATTAAAGTATCATTTTTCTCCTATCCAGTTACTAACAAGGCTCTACCCGACATAACTTCTGAGTTCAGGATAGTATGACTGTAAACTGAATAGTTTATTTAAAGGGAGCAGTGAGATATGGAGCAATATAAATAGATCAAAAATTTTTAAAAGATGACTTTCGATGGTCTTTACTAGTTGTACAATAAAATTCTTAATTTTAACTGTTTTTTTTTAAGTGTATGACTTGCACAAGTTCTGTAGACTCAGGAAAATTACTCTGTCACTGAGCTCTTGAAATGCAAATGAATTTCATGTTCAGTTTTTGTGTTCCCTGAACTCAAAAACACATAAGACCCTCAGTAAAGAAGGCTTGGCTTAAATTGGTTAACATAGCAACCCCTGCTTAAATCCTGTACAGAACTGGGGTTTGATCCTAAATCTAAATTCAAATGTAAGAAAACTGTTTTCATAATAACAAACAAATCCTGAATGTTGTGCAAGTTCTAGTCTGAATGATGCGGGTGAGATGCTATTGCTTTAATCTAGGCCAAGAATTGCACTGATGCTTGGGTATTTCTTTTAACATATATTTTTTATTTCTTCTAATATCAACTATCCATGCCTCTCTCTCTCTGTGTTGCCCTTTGCTTTTTTCCCATAGAACTTAATTCTACCTGGAATTATATAATTTGTTTGCGGGCTGCTTTTTTTTCTCCTTTACATGGAGTATAAATGATTTCCTCCATTCAGGTGCCTCCCCTCTCTGTGCCTTCCCCCACCCCCAACACAACATGTTCCAGTTTCCTGGTATTCATTTTCTTCAACAGTTAGTTATTCAGAAGAGTTAGACCATGGAACTCCTCCCCTGATTATGTCTAGGCTGATTTTCTCCCCTCAGGATTCTGTCCTGTCTATCAGCACAACTCGAGGACCTCCATAAGTAGTGCAGACAGAGAAGGGTCTTACAGCCGTGGAAGAAATGTCCATCCACGCCAGAGTCAGTCCTGTAGAATACTTGATGCAATAAATACTCATGGAACGAAGAATTGTTCTATGTGTAAGAGCAAGATGGATATCGAATTCGGAAAAATACTTTCACGAGTCAAAGAACTTCAAGTTCACCTTGTAATTAGACAGTTCCTCAGTCTAAACACCGTAACCATTGGACACCAAAAAAATTCCCTGAGCTATCCCCTTCTTTACCTGAGGGTTGGCAGCCATGATGGTGTAGTTGCCATCATCGTCGAGGGTGGAGGCTGCAGTGTGGAGGACACAGGTCCCGTCCAGGTCTCTCTGAATGGTGTAGTGATCACTCTTGGGAGAAATCTGTTTCCCATCTTTAAACCAATAGATCTGTAGCAGGAAAGATTACAGATCACACATGGACTCTTGCACGATTTGGAGGACTGATAAAAGCAGTGTGGTTTGTGGAGCTGATCCGAGTGTGAGAATGTTACACGTGAACAGCAAGTTGATGTTTGTGTGGCTCTGGGGTTGGAATTCAGTCTGCGGGAAAGGTTGTAATGGTACCACATTCTTTCTGGTAGAGAGACTGCGCAGAATCAGGAGGATAGATGGTATAGGGCACTTTCCCTCTTCCATTTTTCTGATTCTCCTATTGGCTCCTTTACACTATTAGTTAACCTTTGACTCCTGGTAAATGTATTTCTCATTTCTGTATGCTTACTTCATGAATGTGAGTTTGTTTGCCACCCTCTACTCATCTCATAGTTTGTTCCCTTTAAAATTGTTTCAGCCTCCTGAGGGTTGAGATTATAGGTATATGCAAGCATGCCTGGCTCAGAAGTTTCAATCATCTTTTCAAACAGTGTACCTCACCTCACCTCACTTAGTACAGTACAAGAAGCTTGGTTTTGTAGGTTAAAGATTTTAATTTTTCACCACCAGTGACGAACAGTACTTTTCCATATAATATACAGCACTAGGTTCAAGACCAAGTTTGTCCATTTGCAAGTCAGTCATTTGCAATTTGAGATGAACAATGAAAGGTAAACGGCAGAGGTGTGTGAAAGTGCTCTGTTAAGTTGTTCAGTTGTTGTCGTTAGGGGTTCTCCCCGCCCCCCCATTCTCTTTTCTGTTCGGTTCTGTCCCATCCATCCCATGAATTCCCTTCTTTAAACCTCACTGTACTTTACCCCTCCCCACCACTCTTTAGTTTCTAAGATCTATGAAGATGGCCTTGTACCTAGAGTATTGAAGCATTTTATACCGTATTGATGAAGCATTGACGAAGCTGCTCTGCATTTCTTCTTTCTACCAGGTTTGGTGTATTTAGGAGGTTCAGTCCTCATCAGGAAGTACAACTCTTGGCATAGTACAGGTGTGTCCCCAGAACCGATTGGCTGGAAACTTGTTTCCCGGTGCAGCCGAGTGTGAGCAGAAGTGAGCCAGCACGGGGCAAGAGACCTCATGAATGGGTGACTCCCCTCAGTGGAGTGATGGATGCATTATCTGAGGAGTAGCTTCACTGTAACAGTGACTGTCATGCTTTCTATCTGGCCTTGTGGGAACCTTTGCTCTCTGCCATGAGTTAAGAGAGCGTAAAGCCCTCACTGGCACCAGGCTTGTAGATTTCCTAGTCTCCAGAATAGACCCCCCCACACCAAAAACAAAAACAACCCTTCTTTATAAATTACCCAGGCTTAAGTGTTTTGTTACAGCAGTGGAGATAGAGGGGGGCAGCTCTGAAGAAGTCACCCTGCAGGCTCACCTTAGGCATGGGCTTCCCGGCCACTCTGCACGTGAAAGTCACCGGCATTCCCTCAAAGATCTTGTAGTGTTTCAGCTTCATCTCAAAGAATGGCGCTACTCCATTCTCCACAGGCAGATCCCCATACTGAACTTCATCCCCCGATTCGTCCACAGGAGACCTTTCCAGTCTGTACTCGATTTCACTTATGAGTCTTTGTTCACAGCTGGAGACTTTGTATTCCTGTGTCAAACAAAGCAAGTCCAAGTGAGCAGCTGCAATGCCTGTAGTACAGTGTGTGTGATGAGTCTTTTCTCCCTGCCCAGTAGGGGATGGAAAAGGTGGGATGTTTTTATCACAGAGCTTAAAAAACATCATCGGAGCTCTGTTCAACTCAATAGAAAACAAAAACATCTGGCAGCAAGAATATATATTATTTCAAATTGTCTTCAAGTCGTATCAAACAAAAAAAAACCAGATGAGTTTTTTCCCTTCCTGTTTCTCTCATGGATAGTAGAGGTGGGAGTTGAAAGGAGGAAGGAAATAAGGCAAAGGGCCACAAATGCCTAAACTGTTCACAAAAAGAAAACAGAAAGGAAACACAGCAGGGTAAAGCTGATGCTGGGCTGCACTACAGTTTTAAATGAAAATGGAAAAAAATCACGACATTTTCTTTACCCTCCAATGACCCCATCTGATATAACTTTCTCCTGAATCTAAAGCCATTTGAGAACCATTTCTTTAAAACAAATGTGGCCGATAGTTGTGTCAACACTTCCATTAGAAACATAACCGCAAAACCAAGAACCCATCCGCTTTTAGGGTGGACCCTGTTTTCTTACCTACAAAGTGCAATGAAACTGCAGTAGAAAATATTCCCGGTAGAAAGTATTCCCTACTTGCTACTAAATAAGATGATTGTCACAGGGTTTACTTGTAAAAGAAATTACTCAACTAACTCCATCCGTTTTGGTTTCAGGGAAAGAGTACAATGGTCTGAATAAACTTGAACGGTGCACAAATGGTTTTTTTTTCTTGCTTAATTACTGTTGAATTAATTACTGAATTATTCACTTTCTTCTCTTAGAAAGAGTAAATAGCAGGCACAAGCTTTTTGTGATTTACAGTTCAGAGTAGCCAGGTGTGGTGGCATACATCTATAATACCAGCCACTTGGGTGGCTGAGGCTGGAGGATCCTTTGTTTAAGGATAGCCTGGACTACATAGTGAGTTTGGCCTGGGCTGTGTTACACAGTGAGACCCATTCTTAATACAACAACAACAAAATTTCAGAGTATCCACCTGTGCTGGAATTAAATTCGAGCTTATAAATAAGTGGCAGGAAAAGTCACAGTGCAGCAATCTTATCTGATATTAAAGGAAAACCAATAGTGACCATATATTTATAATGAACATATGGCAGTAAAGACAGATACCCAGGAGGAAGGGAGAGCAGAACACAGAGAACGAAAGAGAAGAAGGGGAGAGCTTAACCTTTTGACCGTCCAGAGGACTCCCTAGAGAAGCAGGAGGAGGCCCAAAGCCCTGCAACAGTAGAAAAAAAGAGGTGAAGACTCAGAAATAACAGGACAGAGTGTGATTCCTAATTTGCTTAAGTGACACTTTTTTTTTTCTGGTTGTGGGGCTTGAACTCAGGGCCTGGGCACTATCTCTGTGCTTCTTTGTGCTCAAGGCTAGTGCTCTACCACCTGAGCCACAGCACCATTTCCAGTTTTTGAGTGGTTCTTTGGAGATAAGAGTCTCACAGGGACTTTTCTGCCTAGGCTGGCTTTGAACTATGATTCTCAGATCTCGGCCTCCAGAGTAGCGAGGGTTGCAGGTGTGAGTCACTGGCACCGGCTTTTAAGCGAAACTTACGCGACAGGAATATTTAACCTTGAGAAGCTTTCAGATGGCGAAGGATGACCCATTGCTCAGGAAATGGGAAAAAGAGTTTCCTTGATTGTTTAGATTTGTTTAAGAAGATTTTTTTTTCTTTTAAGTTTGAGAATATAATAGATACTATAAAGTTATTAATACCAGAGCCATGACATTAGTATTTTTGGTAGTAGCAGGGGAATGAAAATAACATGAGGTCTTTTGCTGGTTGTGCTTTGTAACTATATATGAAAGAAGACAAAGGCAGTCTTCTCTGTATGTAGATACTTCATTTTGGCTGCTAGTAAGGATAGAATGAGATGTTTATTAGCTTATTCTAATAGTATCAATAGGAAAAATGTGTTTTTCCACACAAAGCATTTTTGCCTTAAAGCACACGACAGGAAACACAAAAGGAAAAATAAATGATTAAAAATAAAATTAAAAAGCTGGGCGATGTTGGCTCATGCCTGTAATCAGGGCTACTCAAGAGGCTGAGATTTGAGGATTGTGGTTTAAAACCAGCCTGGTCCGGAAAGTCCATGAAACTCTTAATCTCCAGTTAGCTACCAAAGATACAGGGAGTGGAACTGTGGCTCAAGCGGCAGAGCATTAGCCTTGACCACAAAAGCTCAGGGACAGTATCCAGGCTCCAAGTTCGAGCCCCAGGACTGGCACCAAAAAAAAAAAGATGAAAAGCACAGTAATGCTAAGGATGACGCTTCTATTAACCACTCAGTGTCTGACGCTTCATATCTGCTCCAAAAATAATTAGCTATGAGGTTGATTGATGGTGTTACAACAAATACTTGCCAAAGCTAGGTACTTGCTTGTACTTTTCACAACAGTGAATTTCAGGAGTATGGGGAGAACAGAAAGAATCACTCATTTTTTCCTAAGGTGTTCAGAGCAACACAGGGCCTACCTGGTTCGCTGTCTCTTCTTCTGGCTCTTGGATATTGAAGACGGTTGCACTGTCTGCACCAAGCAATCGGCGTGCCATTCTCTCTTCATATGTTAACCTCTAAGCAAAATAGGTTACAGAAAGTACAAACTTTAAAAAGCAGAAGTAGCTATTATCTTAAGAAAAAGAGTTAAAAAAACAACAGACATTTTCTGTAAAGATTTTCTCTTCTGCTGCAGACAGCTGTATATAAAGGCAGCTCTTCCTTTCCCTCGCTTCAGTGTTTCCTCCTCCTGCCCCTTCTGATCCTCAAGTTCTAACCTTGGTAGCCGCCACTGACACAGCACAAATTTAAAGGGAATGATAAGCAGCAAGGCAGAGACCCCATAGCAAAGATGTGCCATTTTTATCCTTAATGACAAATACAGAGAGCAAAAAGAGATAACCAAACAGCAAAATAATGCTATAAAGGAAATGTTATTTCCAGAGCCATCCGTAGGCTTCAGAATGGCTGAATAAGCTCTCAGACCAAGTGACAGGAAAAAAAAAAATATCCAGAAGATAAACAGAAGAGGTCACTCTGACAGAGAGTTGCACCGGTCACATAACACTATGTCTGGTATATAGTAGATACTCAGTAAATACCAGCAAAGAATGATTGCACAGGCTGAAGTGGGAGCAGGAAAATGAAGACACCCACCAAAGATTGGGACCCAGTGGCAAACTGCCTGTCTCTCAGGAAGAAATGGCAGTGTTTTCACCTTCTGGTCGACATGGTAGAGTCTGTCAGTGCCATGCCGCCAGACTGATCTTTCCATAAGTGCCAGCACTTTGGCTTTGTCACTTGGGGTCATTCTTACACTTGGGTGTGTGGGTTCTAAACTGCTGAGACTTATGTATGGATGTGGGGGTAATGCAGAGCCCCACCTGCTCCCTTGGGTTTGATTAGGAATAGGGAGATGAGTAAGACAGAATCTTAAATAAGTACGAAGTTATTTCTGATCAACTTCTGAATATTGATACAAATAGTATTGGTTATTCTCTAATCAGGAAAGTATGTTGGGTAAATTTACAACTTCCAGTAATTGCTGGTTGTAGTTCCAGCTCAAACCGGGAAGTGAAACCAATCAAGTGCCAAGTAACCCTAAAGTTGAACTTATTTCATGAATAAAGCAAGGACAGGGACCAGGAGAGGGAGGAGTGAGTCTCTCAGTGGCTATGGAGTGTTGCAGTCCTAGAATGTTATTAGGCAAAGTCATGTTCTCACTTCGATTCAAATCAGGGAGTTTGTTTTTCAAAGAGATTAAAAAGAAAAAACAAGCTGTGCTCTCATAAAAAGCTTTCCTAATTATCTCATAGTGAATAGCACAAACACCAGGGAAAGCACGGAATGATTCCCACCCTGTTCCTTGTAAAGGAAAAAGTATCCATTTGCTACCTATTCCTTTACCAGAATGCACCTGCTACCATTAGAAGCCAGACTTACTTCATAGATTGGTTTCTAAGCTATATGCTATGTATGTAGAAATATAAGCCAAAATAAGTAACATTAGAAATGAACAGGAAAATCCCATTTTTATAAGGAAATCTTACCCTCCTGTCCTAAACTCTGAAGTGTGAAAATCTATGGAACTTACTGTCATACTGTTTACCACTAAACTGATAAATATCAATCATGTACAGTTATATGTAAGAGATAGAATATGTACAGTGGGAAGATAGGAAATATACACAATTGGGTTGAATAGTATCTTTTGGAAGTCTTACTTCCAACCAAGAGAATCCTAGGCATATTTAAATAAACAACCACCCAGGGGGCTTGCAGAACTGGAGAGGTGCCTTTACCTCCTGAAAAAGTTCTCCTAAGTGTTTGTTTTCATCTTTCAAAGGCTTTAGTTGACAGAACAGGGAAATGTTCCAACTATGTATATTTACATGAAAAAAATCAGTTATTTCAGGGGGAAAATACCTTCCCTCTATGAAGCAAAAGATCTTCTGTACCAGTGAAAAGAGTAACACAAAATACATTAGAATTTTAATCTTCCTTAATCAGAGTAAGTAACCTAATAATTAAAATCAGATTCACGTCCCTATTCTATTCTCTACCTTTGTATTCAACACAATCTATTTTATATTCTTATTTATAAATGTGAAATGTATTAAAAATGTCCAGAACACATTATTAATGACAGAGTTGTCTGAGGAGGAGATTTGATACACAGAGGACTTTTCTTCTGCTACTGAAGAGCCATGCAGAATTTTCTGGTGCTTTTACATGACAGATTCCTTCCCTTTGCTTGGGTAACCTTACTTGCTGGACTGGCTTTTCTCATCCCCTTAAAATACTTTGAATATGACAAGAAAAAATTGATGAGGAAATATGGAGTCTGATGGAGAAAATGTCCCATACATTTTCCACCAGATTTATGCATACATTCTACAGTTCTGCAGCCTTGAAATATACTTATCTGCCTTCTTTTCCTTCCCTTTCCTTCCTTTCCCTTCCCTTCCATTTTGTCTTGCTTTTTCTAGTCCTGGGGCTTGAACTCAGGGTCTGGGCACCGAACTGAGCTTTTGTGGCTAGTGTTCTGCTACTTGAGCCACAGCTCCACTTCCAGCTTTTTTGTAGTTTATTGGAAATAAGAATCTCATAGATTTTCCTGAACTCTGTGATCCTCACTCTCAGCCTCCGGTAGCATTACAGTCGTGAGCCACCAGCACCTCTCATACCCAGTTTTCATCTCTAGTTTAGTTGTTTAGTTTCATCTCTAGTTTAGTGGTTCTAGTTTTGCTCTGACAATTGGAATGGGACTGTGGGACAGGTACTATACTTTAAGGTTACTGAATCCATAGCTGGCTGGAGCTGGGGAGAAGGGGATTTAACTTCAGTCATGATTTCTCTAGCAAGTGTATTTTGAGTAGAATTCTCCTTGTGGTTCTTGAATTCCAATTCACCACATCAGTTTACAAACCATTCCAGTTCCAACAGCTGCCAGCCAGGATGGAAACTCATGTTTCTTTATCTTTTATATTTTGGGTGGTACTGAAGTTTTGAACTTAGGACCTTGTGCTGTATAGGCAAGGTGCTCTCCTACTTGAACCATAATTCCAGCTCTCTGTTTTAAGATATTTTTTAGATAGAGTTTTGCTCCCCTCCGCCCCAGCCCCCAAGACCAGCCTCAGAAAGCAATCCTCCTCTTGTGAAGCAAGAATTATAGATGTGCACTAGCACGCTCAGTTTATTCGTTGACATGGGACTCATTAGCTTTTTGTCTGGGCTGTTCTGGAACCAAATCTCAGCCTGATGAGTAGCTGGGATTACAGGGGGGTGTTACTGCATCCAACTTCTTTCCCTTTATGACAAGGTTATTACTTGGTTGCTCTTGCAAGCCTAATTAAAACTGCTCTTCGTTCTTCTAACTCTCTAAGAGGGATGTTGAGATTCAAGAAGTAGTAAATTAATCAGGTGGAGGAAGCTTAAGAGGCTAAGCCTTAGTGAATGAAAAGAAGAGGTCTTGGATGTGAGTCGCTACTATTTCCTGTCCCTGCCCTCTGCCTCTCCGTACCGGCTGGCCGTTGTTCAGGAGATCCTCCTTGAAGCGAAGTTTTCGTTCTAGATCTTGAATGACAGCATCCTTGGTGCCTTGAATCTCTTCATCGGAGGCGATTCTAGCAGTTCTCCCCGTCTTCTTTGGAAATCCCCTGCAGAGCAGAAAGTGCAAGCTTAAGTACCACACAGTGTTGTCAGCAAAAATTTTTATCATACCTTTAAAAAAAATTTTTTTTTTTACTACAACTTTCCATCTGAGGAAGAAGAGTTGGGTTGTGAGGTCATCTGACAGACGAGGTTGAAGGCAGCTAGCTATTACTGGCAGTAATCTGAACAACAGAACCTATTTGCACTTCGATGGGGTGTGAGCAGCCCTGAGTGGAGAAGGCCCCGCCGTGTTTCTGTGGGCTGACTGCGTGCTCAGCACGCAGGAGAATCAAAGAGGTGAATAGGTGAGTATCTAGGGCAGGAGAGATCATCTAAATGGGGAAGCAGAGAACTGGCATTGTAAATACAATCATCATGACGTGGATGGGTGCACACTGGGCTCTTTGCTACAGTGTAAGTTCTGTTGCCTGAAAAACATTTTTCAATGTATTTAACTCTTACTGGGAGACCTAGAACTACTGCTCTGGAATATTCTATACAGAAACCCTTTATCTTGGTTTGGGTCCTTGAAAACGCAAGTATTTTTTATCATTTCAAAGCGTATAATTTTGATTACTTTTGGATCCCCAAATAAAAGCCATTCTCTACTTCTTTTACTTAGAAGATGTAAATTAGATTGCCAACATTATATAGGTAGACATAAGGCTCATACACATAAACTTACACTTTGAGGCCAGCCTGGGTTATATAGTGAGACTTTGCTTCAAATCACCAAATAATCAGGTGACTGTGGCTCACACCCGTAATCCTGGCTACTCAGGAGGCTGAGATCTGAGGATTGTAGTTCAAAGCCAGCCCAGGCAGAAAAGTCCTTGAGACACTTAGCTCCAGTTAACCAAGAAAAAGCCAGAAATAGAGGTATGGCTCAGGTATAAGCCTGCCAGCCTTGAGTCAAAAGCTAAGGGAGAATGCTCTGGCTCCAAGTTTAAGCCCCAGTATTGCAGGAGAGCGAGAGCGCGAGAGCGAGCGAGAGAGTCGGGAGGGAGGGAGGAGGGGGGAGAACTAGCATTAGAAGGAGATTTATGTGATTCTTTTTTCTTCTACCTCCATTTTTAAGATTGTTTTCTCTTGTTTGTAGAGTTCAAGATACTCATATATTCCTGGCTCTGAAAATCAACACTAAAATAAGAATCAGTCAATTGAAAGATTTGTTTAAGTATCCAATAGTCCTCTCACAAATATTTACTGAGCCTCTAGCAAGCATAGTGTTAGCCCAGTATACCAGTGCAAATTCTGTTACCCCTAGAAAAAAGTAGTTTGGGAAGAAAAGTGATGTATTTACTTGATGTCATCACGACATTTTTTATTATATACTTGAAGTTTTCAAGATGGACTCCTCCCCACCCCCCTGGCTGCCCCCTGTCGGTCTTGGGGTTTGAACTCTGGGCCTGGGCACTGTCCCTGAGCTCTTCAACTCAACGTGAGTGCTCTACCACTTGAGCCACAACAACACTTCCTACTTGAAGTTTTATGACTAAAAATGAAGGAGAAAAACTTCATTACTATAATCACCATTACCTGTAAAAAGAACTAAATCCTAAGGTATGATCCTTCATCACAAAGGGTTAGGTGATCATCTCCTTCTAGGAGTTAAGACCCAAACTTATAATACGAGTCCTAAGTGCAATGGGAGACAACAATACTGGAGCCAGGCACCAGTGCCTCCTCATGCCCGTAATCCTATTCAGGAGGCTGAGAGCTGAGGATCTTGGTTTGAAGCCAGCCCAGGCAGGAAAGTCTGTGAGACTCGTCTCCAATTAACCACCAGAAAACTGGGACTCAAAGTGGCAGAGACCTACCCTTGAGCAAAAGAGCTCAGGGACACTGAGTACAAGTACCATGACTGACCAAAAAAACTGGATAGAATGAATGCAGAGGACTTTGGAAGAGGCAAGTGTCTGAGACAGACTTTGAAAGATAAGGATGTTAGCTGTGTGCCAGTGGTTCATGCTTGTAATCCTAGCTGCTTAGGAGGCTGAGATCTGGGGTCAAGAGCAAGAAAGAGTCAGTGGGACCCATATCTTCAATTAACTACCAAAAAGCTGGAAACAGAGCTATGGCTCAAAGTGGTAGAGTACTAGCTTTGAGCACAAAAGCTCAGGAACAGAGCCTAGGCCCTGAGTTCAAGCCCCAGGATTGGTGCGTGTGTTGTGTGTGCATGCCCATGCGTGCACAGACACACACACACACACACACACACACACACACACAGAGTCCCCCCACTCCCCCCCCCAAAAAAGATAAGGATGTTGACAAGTACTAAGGAGAAGAAGGAATTCAGTCAGCATGAACACAAGATCAGGAGCAAGAATTGTTTTGTTATCACTTAGCTCCAAGTCTTGGGCTGTTGTGTGCTTCAGTGTCCTTCTCCGAAATGTGGAATTACTGGAAACACTCAGAGCGGGTGTACACCAGCACTCAGAGGAAGAGTGGACATGCCAAGACCAGCACAGTCCCCAGCATGGAAGGAAAACAGAATCGAGGCTGGCCAAGGGAAACTGAATGAATGAGAGGAAGGAGTTTTAAAAGATGTCAAGAATTCTTGACCAGAAGTTCTCCTAAATGTGCAAATCGCCCTCACCGACTGCCTTGCCAGTGCTCACCAGACAGCTCAGTGCGGGGAAGATGGGGGGGAGTAAAACTATGCCCCAGGATTTGCAAAAATCAGACCCTACCATGGAGATGGCAGAGACAGAGAGGAACACAGGACCAAGGGCCCGGCACATTCAGGAAGTGCCACAGTGACAGGCACATGAAGCCATGGCTTTATCAGCAGTCAACCAACCCTCTAAGGAGGTGGCTGTAAATGCCAGGAAATTGCTGCTTGTGTATTGTGACACCATGCAAAGTTCCCAGGGCCAGAATGAGCCCTGCCTTCTCACACTAGTTGTGACCCAGAACCTCTTGTTTTTCTCTGCGAGCATCTCATTAGACTAGTAGATATCCAAAAACACTTTGGAAAGTTGCATTGAAGACTGAAGACAGGGTTTAGGGTTAGCGTGGAAGGTTAGTGGTAAGACATCAAAATGGAAGTATTGGGGAAGGGGAGACACAGGAAAGAAAAAGTCATTGTAAGTGTTTTTTTCCCCTTTGGTTTTGATTTGGTGTTTATCCTGGGGCTTAAACTCCGGGCCTGGATGCTGTTCTTTAGCTTTTCTACTCAGGGCTGGCACTCTACCACTTGGGCCATACCTCCATTTTTGGCTTTTTTCTGGTTAGCTGGAGATAAGAGTCTTACAGATGTTTAAAGCCTGGGCTGGCTTTTAACCACAAACCTCAGAGCTCCACCTCCTGAATTGCTAGGATTATAGGAGTGAGCTACTGGTGCCTGCTGATAAGTTTTTGAGATACAAGTTTGGTAACTGTTAATACTATGGTGGAGATGAATGCATGATACTCTAGTTTCTTTCTCAGATAGCATCTGCTTTTGATCAATGAACAACAGCTAATTAACAGAAAATAAAGGAGTAATGGTAACAAGAGATCCTGTCTCTTCATGAGACATGTTCAAAGTAAAATTTTACCCAAACCAGTAAGCAGGTCCTAACAGGTCTCCTACACTAAGTACTAAGTTTGCTCCTGAGCTGTGTACTCTGGCTTTAACAGGAAGTCACTTGCCATTTAAAAATAATATTCGTGTGGCTGGGGTTAAAAAGCTAGAACATACACAGCATCTAGAAGGTGAAATTGTCCAGACTTGGCCTCTATGAGATCCCAGGAGGGTTTTTTTGTTGTTGTTGTTGTTGATTGTAGGGCTTGCATTCAGGACTTGGGTGCTGTCCCTGAGCCTCTTTGTGCTCAAGCCACAGCACGACTTCCAGTTTTTGAGTGGTTTATTGGAGATGAGAGTCTCACAGGGACTTTTCTGCCCAGGCTGGCTTCAAACCCGGATCCTCAGATCTCAGCCTCCTGAGTAGCCAGGATTACAGGTGTGAGTCACTGACACCCAGCTCTGAATAATTTTGAATGTTGCTTTCCCTTGATAGAGTACTATAAGTCAATTCTACTAATACATTTCAGAAACTCAAATCTCCAGAGGATGATTTCAGGATCTCCAACTAAAAGACTTATTCTCCTTAAATTCAGTGAAATCACAAAAAATTCCAGAGTGAGCAAACTCCTTAAGAGGTCAGCATTTAGACACTCTTTATATCCCAGGATGTAACATATTCACGAATGCTTACAAAGCTTTGGTGTTAGTCTGAGAGGGCCCTGGAGGCTGTTATCTTTTTTGGCATTGTCTATCCCTAGCATTGTGGCCTTTGTTCTCTTGCTTTGTCCTCTGCTACCCAGCAACTGAGAAAGAGGCGGCACAGGCCTTCTAGAAGCAGCAATGAGTCGGGCTTCTCTTCTTCAGACTAAATGAGACCAATGCTGAACACATAAATAGAATGAGACAGAAGACACCTGATTGGTAAGTACAAGAATGGATGTATCTGGAATTCAGAGCTAAGATTTTGGTAAAACAAGGCAGATGGAAAAAAACAAAAGAATTTCTATTGAAAAATGTCTATGACAAATCTGATGAATTTCTCTTTCCTAGAGTTCCTCATGCATTTGACATAATTTGACAGGCGTTTGAAAGTTTTTTCAAGGATGCCATAGTCACAGTAGCCCTGAAAGGGACACTATATCTTTGGTAAACGATCTGGAATTATTATGAAGGCCAGATGGCAGCATTTTTTTGCTTTTAATTCAGAATACAAATGATGGATCCCACAGTACGCCTGAGGAACAACTTTGAAAAGACACATTGCATCAAACCAAAGGAATGAATTCTTCAAGTGTGTGTGATTTAGCAATAGGAAAATTCCTTCGAGACAAGAGGGTAACCACACAGTAATGTCTTGCTGGGCTGGCAAAGCTAAAATCCTGCAGCTCTGCTCACATCGCCACTTTTCTTTGGTGTCACAGTGCTGAACAACTTGAAAGTCTGGCAATTGACTCTGGTTTAGTTTTCCACAACCACAAAATCTGCATGGTTTCTCCATTAATTTTTAAGAAATGCCAGGAACTACTGGGCTCTTTTGTGGTGACAATTATAAAACAGTATGGCTGCGAAGCATGTCAAGTGCTCGGTTACTTGAGGCAAACCCTTACAATGGATACCATCTTAGGCCAGTTTCAAAGTCACAAATCTGAATAAATCACAGTTTCTACTGAAAATATTTTAAGCCCAAGTGTCCAATCAGTGCCTTTAATTGATGAAGTAATTTTTGATCAAATTCTATTAAAAAATTGATTTTATGAATCTTAGATTGGCAAAAAGTGAGCTTTGGTACTAATTTAGTAAGAACTATCATGCCATCAACCCCTACTTTGTGAATCTTTTTTTTTTTTTTAAAGCAAGATGACTCCAGGGAGTGGGTGGGGTGGGGAATAAAAGCTCAAACAAAAAAGCTGGGGAGAAAATGGGGAGAAAGTTTCCTCAGGAAAGCTCACTGACTCAGCTTCTCAATAGAAGCTCATTAACACACTATTCCACTCCTTTATTTATTTAGTCATTTCAGCTGTGTTCTTTCCAATAAGAATTTGAGAAGACGCCAGCTTCCTGACAGAATTCATGCAATCAACATTTAGAAAGTGCCTAACAAGAGAAAACATCACTAATTGAAGTTCTCCCATGCACCTAATTAAGGCCAGATACAGCAATGCCTATCTGATGTGACGTTAAGTACATATGAATGAAATGGTAGTGCATGCCTGTAATCCCAGTAGTTAGGAGACTGAGGCAGGAGAATTGAGAGAGCAATAGAAACTGCAGAGAGCCAGGAGCTGGTGGCTGGTGCCTATAACCCTAGCGATTCAGGAGCCTGAGATCTGATGATCATGGTTCAAAGCCAATTTGGCAAAGTCCACGAGACTCTTATCCAATTAACCATCAAAAAAAGCTGGAAGTGGAAGTGTGGCTGAAGTGCTAGCATGCTAGCCTTGAGTGACAAAGTCAAATGAAGAGCTCACCGCCCTGACTTCAAGCCCCAAGCCCTGCAAAAGAGGACAAACTGCAGAGACTCACCCGGGGAACTCTACTGGCCAGAGAAAGACATGATCCCACAACCCCTCACTAGATTATACACATCCTAATTTAATTTGCATCAAATATGGACATCTATTGCCCCCCCCATCATTAGATGTAGAATATAAAGGCTTTTTTCTCGACAGCATTTAGGTTTTTCTGTTTTAATTTTGTGGGTACTAGAGTTTGAATTCAGGGCCTCACATCTGCTAGGCCATAGCCCTGCTTCGGTTACTTTAACATCCCAAGTGTGTGCTTAATAGCCAGGTCACAGCAAAGCCACAGCAATGCAGAACTGAAAGACCCAGGCGCAGGGTTGGATGGGGAGGGCGTGCATTCTGTCCTCAGACGTGATCGGATCTGTTTGGTGGAAGCGCCCCTGGCCGAACTGCCTAAGCACTGACGGCCTGGGTGTCCTGGGTGGGACGGTGACTCTCAGGAACACCATCAAAGCGGGTACCAGATGAAGATGACCCCTGGGGTGGAGGGACCACCGAGGCCTCGGTGGGTGGGCTTGGGCGGGGCATGCGACTGTCACTTATGCAGGGTGACTCCCCTGAGTGGGTGTGTGAGCTTGGGGCGGGGCCTGCGACAGTCACACAGGGAGATGCCCCTGAGTAGGTGGGCTTGGGGCGGAGCCTGCGGCTGTCACTCATGCTGGGTGACGCCCCTGGATGGGTGGGCGGGCTTGGGGCGGGGCCTGCGGCTGTCCCTCATGCTGGGTCACACCCCTGAGTGGATGGGTGGGCTTGGGGCGGGGCCTGTGGCTGTCACTCACGCGGGGTGCGCCCCTGGGTGGGTGGGCTTGGGGCGGGGTCTGCGGCTGTCACTCACGCGGGGGTAACGCCCCTGGGCAGCCCCAGGGCGTTGACGGCCACGGGAGGTGGCTGGGACGGCAGCAGGGCGCTGAGGAAGGCGGCAGGCGTCTGTCCGTGCAGGCGGGCCCCGGGCGGGGCGCAGGGCGAGGCCGGGAGCGGCGGCGGCGGCGGCGGGAAGGCGTCGGGCACCGGGAAGGCCGCGGTGGGGCTGAGGACGGGCGGCGGCGGAGGCGGCGGGGACGGGGAGGCCGGGCCCCACGGGGCGTCGGCGCCGAAGGGCGACGCGAAGGGCGGCGCGGGCGCGCGGCCCAGCGAACGGGGCGTCGGGGACAGGGGCGACGGGAGGCTGGAGCTGCTGGGGCTGGAGGCGGGCGTGGCGTGTCCGGACGCGGGGCCCAGGTTCTGCGCGGCGATGAACTGCTTGGGGCGCGCGTAGTTGAAGGATCCGGAGGACTGCATGGCGGCGGCGCGGGGCGCCAGCGCGCTCATGGGCTCGGGCCCGGCGGGCGAGGCCGGCGGCTCGGGGCAGGCGGGCGGCGGCGGGAAGGGCGGCGAGGGCGGCGGCGAGGGCGGCGCCGGGGGCCGCAGGCCGGACTCCTGCTCCAGGCGGACCTGGGTCTGCAGCTGCTGCAGCCTCGCGGGGTCCCTGCGGGCGAGAGAAGGCGACACGTCAGCCGGGGTGGTGTGCGGGGGGTCCGAGCCCGGGGCTGGCGTGCGGGATCAGAACCCGGATCGTGCGCGGGGTCCGAGCCCGGGGCTGGCGTGCGGGGTCCCAGCCCGGATCGTGCGCGGGGTCTGAGCCCGGGGCTGGCGTGCGGGATCAGAACCCGGATCGTGTGCGGGGTCCCAGCCCGGGGCTGGCGTGCGGGATCAGAACCCGGATCGTGTGCGGGGCCCGAACTCCGGGCTGGTGTGCGGGATCCCAGCCTGGATCGTGTGCAGGGCCCAAACCCGGGGCTGATATGCAGGATCAGAACCCGGATCGTGTGCGGGACCTGAACTCGGGGCTGATGCGCAGGATCAGAACCCGGATCGTGTGCGGGACCTGAACCCGGGGCTGATGTGCAGGATCAGAACCCGGATCGTGTGCGGGGTCCGAACCCGGGGGTGGTGTGCGGGATCCCAGCCCGGATCGTGTGTGGGGTCCGAACCCGGGATCGTGCGCGGGCGGGAGACCAGCTTGGGTGGGAACTTCAGGCGTCTGCAGCGCCCAAGGACACCAAAGTCTCTACCTGCCCGGGCAGGGCGGGAGGGGAAATGCCACGGGGCTGACCCACCCCGTTTGCTAACGCTGAAACGGAACCAGAACTAGTAACAGAGAAAAGGCTCCTCTTCCTCTTCTTCCTCTTCTTTTTTCTAGTACCGGGCTCGGCGCCAGGGCCTCGCTTGCGGGGCTGGCTTGCCCACGCTGGCACTCTCCCACTTGAACCAGGGCCCTGCCCGACCCTTCGCAGGAGCCCGCCGCCCGTCCCCCGCTGCCTTCCTCCCCGGGGCTGGGGTTACAAGGCTCGGGGAACTTCTGCTTTTAAAACAAGGTTCCTCTTCCCATGTGCAGCCCCGAAGAATTCTATCAGGAAAGAGTGGAAAGTTCAGTGGGCCCCCCACCGCAGACGCGAGGTTTCCTTTTTCTGTAGATTTACTTTATTCTCTGAATTTGTTCTCTGAAAAAAACTTTACTGCAAAACTATAGTAAGAAACAATTGCTAATCACATATACCAACCTCAATAGCTCTAATTCAAGCATCTTTACCATGTGTCCGATAAACAATGCTATTAATTTTATAATGTAGATTTCATCCCCCAAATGGTTTCCATTGAGGAGTTTGAATTTTTATTTATTGCAATACAAATAAGCAGCTAGCAATTCGCTAGAACCTCACCTTAAAACAACAACAACCCTCAAAACCTCCCTGTTTAACACAGGTCTCTGGCCTACATAGGGACCAAAGGCTGTCAAAAGCAATCTCAACAGAAGGCGGCGCTGTAACGATCAGCTGAAACAGGAACAAGTCTAGAAACAGAAAAAACTACACACCTAACTTCAAACCTTAAAACAAAGGAGAGCAAAACTTATTTATGAGCATCTAATCTTCAAAATAAAGCAATAAAAGGATTCAAAGCTTCTGATAAAAAGGTAAAGACTTAGGTCTGTTATCAAGTATTGCAAGGAGGAACACCAGAAGAGTTCTGAACTCTTTCCTGACTTTTATTCCCTTTACATGATTACACTTAAACCCATGAAAAGACAAGAAGAATAACTTCCTTGTGAACTGTGAGGGATAAAGACAAGGCACTCATATATTCTTAATCTGTGCAGAGCACCAACCAGTCATAAGAACAAAGGTCTCTGTGGGGTGTGCGGGACTCAGTTGTAGCGTTTGAAAAGCAGCCACACACTGCTGGGTTTCACCAGGGCCTCCAAAGCTCCAGATGTCCATGTGGTTTGGGTAGATGGTCCAGCACATGTGTTCCTGCTTGGAGTATTTAGAGCTGGCACAGGAATAGAACTCATAAAAACCACCCACCAGCTAGCTCTAAACCAGCACTCATTCTAAAATCCCCGATTGTTCCTCCCTGGTCTTCTGCCTTTATTATCTCTTCATATTTCCTCATTATGGAAACACATTCTATTCCTTAAGGCCTCTCCCACCCTCACTGACGGCTCTACCTGGGATGGATGCTTCTAGGTGGCTTTCCTCATGGCACACTTCCCCTACTCTCCCAGCTTAGACTCACAGTGGCCACTGAGCCACAGCTGTGTCTGGAGGTATTTTAAGCGTGGCCTGCGTCAGCAAAGCGCCCTATAGCCGGGCTCTGTGCTGGCTGCACATTCATGGTGTCCTGTGGCTGGTGAAGAGACCCTGCTGCAGCATTACAGAGTGGCTCCTAAAAACCCACCTACTATGGTTCTGATTTCCTCCATAGATCAGTGTACTTGTGAAAGCAATAAACAATTGCTAACTCATATGGGCCTAGAGCTGGTGCTACTGTTAGTTAGGTGATAGTCCAAGAAATTACAAATGTACTTCAGAAGTTATTGGGGTGCTCACATGTGTGGCCATGAAGAACTTTGCTCTGAGTCTCCAGTGGTTCAACACCAGGTGAAGGATATAATATGGAGGGAATTGGAGGTTGGAAATACCAGGGAAAGGATGAAAATCCAAGTTAAGAGTTCTAACTAGCCCTGACTGTTTATAGATTTAGTTTTATGACTCATCCAGACTCTCCCAGCTTCTTTTGTTCTCCTCTCCTTAGCATACTTTCAACTCAAAAGTCTAAGGATTTCCTCCATTGTGTGTGTGTGTCTTGCTCATAGCTGGGTTAGCACTCTACCACTTGGGCCACACCAGCCTGACTTTTTGCTAGCTAGTTGGTGACAGAGTCTTGTGGACTTTTCTGCCTGAACTAGCTTCAAACCTTGATCCTCAGCTCTCAGCCTCCTGAGTAGATCATAGATGTGAACACTACTAATGCCTGGCTAGAAAGTTCCCAATTTTAATGATCCTTCAATTCTAAGTTCCTATACTCAAGGAAATGAAAATGACCAGACTTTCTGTTGTGCACATCATGGTCCACTTACAAACTGGAAAAGCGATTAGGAGTTTAGTAAGTAGAGGTGAGTAGCTAGGATCACAGGCATGAACCACTGGCTCCCAGCTTGCTAGAGCTTTTAAAGTGAAGAATTTTACAGTGGGACTTTGGTGGCTCACATCTAAAGTCCTAGTTACTTGGGAGGCTGAGATCTGAGAATAGAGGTTAGAAGTCAGCCCAGGAAGAAATAGGAGAGACTTTTATCTCCAATTAGCCAGCAAAATGAAATGGAGGTATAGCTCAAGTGGTAGAGCACCAGTCTTGAGTGATCAAAGCTAAGCCAGAGCACAAAGCCTGAAGTTCAAGTCCCATTACTCCCTCCCTCCCCACTCCCTGGCGCTGAATAGCTTTATAGAAAACGAAAAGCAAAGATTTAGACCTGAGCCGAATAAAGAGAAGTGTAAATCCCAATTAATTTCCTAATCCAGCCATGGTTCCCTTTACCACATTAAAGCAGGCGTGGAAAAATTCACAGATGGAAAGCCTGGGCAGCAGGTGTACAGGCAGAGGCTGGACTCACCGTGAATCTGTGCGGGCCAGAAACTCAGCTTGGCTGGCCACAGGCTGCGGGGGCTTTGGGAAGGATGGAATGAGTACCATGTCTCATGGGGAGCAAACTCAGAAAACACCTTCCACATCAGAAGGAAATAACCACATCAATCCTGGCTACTTTATACTACAGAACTTTAAAAGCTGGGACCAGTGTTCCACATCACTCATTGCCATTCTAAGTGGCTGGCAAAGGGGCAGCCGTGGCGGGTGGGGAATTGAATGGGGATTCTGGGTAAAGTGCTAGACAGGTTAAGACGGCTCCAGCCTGCTCCGCTTCTTTCTCCTCAAAGCCAGAGGGAACCTACAAGGTGCCCAGCACTGATCGGACTCATAACACCCCGGGAGGTTATTTTCCTTAATTTCTAAGGTCTCCATGGATTAATAAGGTCAGAACCTAATTGTGACAGGCAGGTCAGCTCCCAAATCTTTGCATTGTGTCGTTCTCACCAGTGTGTTCAGTTAACAACAAAGGTTTGTGAAAAATGTTATGACTACATTATCACGTTTCCCCTAGAGAACTGCAACCCAAGTTCAAAATAAACGATGTGAGAAGAAACTTCTGGAAAACAACTTTTATGTAAATTGGAAATTCCCCCACATGTCTCTCTCAGGGGCAACATCTGGATTGCAAAAATTAATCTGTTCCCTGCTCCCGCTCACCAAGATGGAGTATTCCGAATTGTCTGGAGGAACTCTGGGGATCATGAAGCTGGAGCACATTTGTGAGGGGATTATAAACGCCGTGTGTGTGTGTGTGTGTGTGTGTGTGTGTGTGTGTGTGTGTGTGTGTGTGTGTGTGTGTGTGTGTGTGTGTGCATGCTCTTTTGTTTTGATGGTGTAATAATAGAAAAGCCTGTGGAGAGTTGTACAAGGCTACAGCCTCTGAACCATAAGCTCCTCTCGTCCTAATATTCATAAGCTACGGGACACCCAACCAAACACTAAACATGGTGGACTCATGACTGTGAGGGAGGTGATGCACAATGTAACCCTCTAGCAGCAACTTCCGAATCTCACGATGTTCATCAGCCATCCTGAGTAGGATGCTCATTATGTGGGCACTCACCCACTGGGTGGGATTGGAAGCTTTTAAGAACTTCCAAATGGCCAGGTATTGGTGGCTGTAATCTGAGCTACTCCAGAGACTGAGATCCAAGGATCCAGGTTAGAAGACAACCTGGACAGACACTCCTTAACTCCAATAACTCACCAAAAGCTGAAGTGGAGGTGTGGCTCAAGTGGCAGAACATCAGCGTTGAGGAGAAAAAAGCTAAGCAAGAATGTGAGAGAATCCTTGAGTTCAAGCCTCAAGAGCACGCACGCACACACGTATGTGAGACACATATGCATACATACATAATGCTAACTAAATTGTAGGCTATCACATATTGATTTTGTGAACTTATGAAACTACAGGGCTTCAGTTCAGGTAGAAGTGATTCACTTATCCATTACTCAGATGATCTCCAATTGTTTTATTTTTATTTAATTAGCTAGGCTTCA